GTCAATATTACTGAAACGAGACTGTAGTAATGAAACGAGACTGTACCTCCAGTCAGTTGTATCGTCTGGACCATGCGGGGCTAGGTGGCCAGTGTATAGTACCGTCCACGGTCAATCTAGGCCTCACGCTCCATACGGGGTGGACTTGTCAGCTCACGAGCGACGTTATGGTCAAAACTCCATTACAGTCATCCATGACGAGCCTTTTGTCTAAACAGCTAGCCAAATTTCGGACGAGGCTAGCAGCTGCAAACAGAGCCAATCTCAGCGTTCATGCGAAGATCATCTACTTTAACACCTTTTCGCTGAGCCTTTTCTACTATTCGCAGACCCACCGTTTCTTCTCCCCAGTGCTCCTCAAACCACTCTATCACGCCATGGCGGACTTTCTGTTGAAACGGCACTGGTTCCCACAACATCTACTTGTAGGCCTTTGTCGTTGGCTACGTATTGGCCCATTGCTTGACCCTACAATCATGCAGGCAATCTCAATCTGCGGCAGGGATACAGATCCCTGGCAGAGGAGCACGAAGGTTCTTATGCTGCGCAAATCCAACAGTGCTGGAGGTATTGGCAAACGCAACTCCCTACTGAAGACATTCAGCGTCTCTTAGTCCTCTTGAGACAAGACAATACGCCCACACAGAGGGCAAGTCGTTTCAAGCACTTATTCAAGCAGATAGCCATCACTCGGCTCCTTGATGCCTCCCATCGGCATTTGACTAATCGAATCTACCAAAATGGCTGGGCGCTGGGTCCCTCTATCGAATTCCTAGGTTGGCTTGCAGAGCTCCCTACCACGCAAGTAGGAGCTGTGCCGCGGTATGCAGTCTTGCGATGGGCTCTAGGGGAAGATGCCGACTTCTGGTTACCCCTTAGAGGCAAGCTCAGCCGTAGCCAACCCTGCCTATGGTGTCAGAACAACACACGATGCTTTCCGCAAGGACCTGGGTATGGGGCCCTATGCCCATCTTGCTTCCAGCCAGCAGCAGCAAGGGATGTTACCCTACACGACCTCTATGATGAGTGCTATGCCTTTTTACAGTTTCATAAGATTACGATGCCTCCTCTCACACGACTGCCGCCTGCGTTTTCTCGTCTTGCTGCTTCGGAGGGGTGTCGTGCGCCCGAATCCTATGTTCCCTGTGTACTCTGCCAGCGAGGTGTTAACTCTATTGACCATTGGCTCTCTTTCTGTCAGGTTGCTCACCTAACATGGATTGCCCTGTGGGCTTCCCCAGCCCCAGAGATTGACTGGCGTAAGGTGCCTTCCCGTAGCACTGGAGTTGCACTCTGCTATATGCTCTTTCACCTCCGGCGACTTGTCACAGAATATGGTGGACTAAGACCGGTCATCGCTTGTGTGCGCAACCGCTCCGTCTCACAACATGTGCTTGACTTGTGGCAGCGGATCTATCGCTCACTACCAAGCGCCTTACTTAAATTCTTTCGTGCTCCGCCTCAAGCTGGTGATGCCTCTTGTGTTGACTCCACCAAACTTAGGCTGCAGCGCTTCCCTACCGTTGTGCTCGAATCTGCCTTGTTCCCGCCCAAGGGGCTCATTACCATCCAGCCCTTTGCCAAAGGTGACACAATTGCCACTTTTGCCAAGAATGACAATCGTCTGCGGTTGCTTTTGCTGCAACACAGGAAGCTCCCTTTTCCTACGGCTACTGCTTGCCTGGTGCCCTTCCTATGCCACTGTGGATCCACGCATTTGCGACTACAGGCTACGGATGACCTGCCTGCCAACACTATTCTCCTGCTCAGTGAATCGCATGAGTGGCAAGGATGCCTCGTTCAATTTGATGGCTCTGCGCACAAGCACACTCAAACGGGCGGAGCAGGCGTTAGCTTACTTCATGTCACGCCGTCCTCCACAACACTGGTCCAGTGGCTTTCCATTCCTCTTCTCTCCTGCGCGGACAATGTTATCGCAGAAGCCCATGCCTGTCGCGCTGCCATAAAACTCGCATTTGAGTACTATGTTTCCTGCCTGTCCAAAGGCATCTATGTTGACAGTGTGGTAGTGCAGGGAGACATTTTGCCAATCATCAATTACCTTCAGCACAAAGGGAGAGTCAAGAAACCAGCCGTCGTTGCCATTCTAGACCAGTGTCAACAATTGTTAGCCCGCGCACCGTGCCTTTTCCGCCTTGTTTATTTACCAAGAGAATGTAATCGACTGGCAGACTATTTCGCAGGTCAGGCCAGCGCTGCGGCTAAGGATCCATTGGTACCCCTGCACCATGCAGCTCTCCCGCCGTATCAACTTGCACAATCACTAGGTTTTATTATTGAGCAGGGAGATGTTTCGCAGGTTCCTGCCTTTGTCCTCACTGAGTGCCCCTCTCCTGCTCCACAGGAGCTCTACACATTACTGCGACTGCACCCGCGCTACAAATTTGTTTCCTTGGACTATATTGCCTCCGCAGTAGCAGCTTCCCACCGCCTCACTGTGGGTTACAAGCCCACAATTGATGCTCTGGGGGGTAGATACTATGCAGTAGGCAATACTGCTCAGCGACTGCCACGACAAGTGCGGCTCCTTCTCTTTGGCAGCTCACATTGGGAGATAGATATCAGTGGTGGGCATTATGAGCTCATGAGACGACATTGCAAAACAGCTGCAGTCCACCTAGATTTACCTCCGATTGCACAAGCGCGGGAGCGCCTTCGAGATGCAATCAGTACTCAGATTGCTGGAGGCGATATAGAGCAATTAGTTAAAATTTGGCCGCTCGTTATCATCAACAGTGCCACACCACAAGAGGCAGTTGAGTACCTCCGGAAGCGCTTAGTCAGTGAGCCGCCCTCTCTTGTGCGTTTTGCCCGAGAGGTTTTCGCAGCTAGTAGATATGCTATGCATCATCCTCCCCTCTGGCGCCCTCCGGTTGCTGACCAAGGTGGAAGAGGTGCTCCTTTTCATTTCTTTGAGGTCCTCGAACAACATGTAACGTGGGCTGCCTACTCTTTTCTGCAGCCGCGAGTAGGCTTCACATCGGCCATCTGGTTGCATGATGGCTTCTGGGTTACCCCCCGGCCAGGGGAGGAAGTGCTGGCGGCCCTTCACTCTCACCTCTGTCTCGCATTCAACTTTGACTCAACCGAGGCACCCCTCATCAGGTGTGATCCCTTGCAACCTAAACTTGATCACTTGCTTGCGCAGTGTGCAAACTCATCCTCTGCCATCAGTTCACTCTCATGTGCCTTCTCCCACCAGCCTCTCCCTACAGTTGTGCGCATTCACAAGAAACGCATCTTCACTGTAGCGCATCTTGCGCGTCAGGAAGTGCTAGAACAGCGACTAGCGAAGAGAGCGCGTATTAATGACATCAAGCGGAGACGACTTGCATAGCTTGCGCTCTCCACAGAAGCGTGTAGTGAATTCCCTTTGCACTTCTCGACTTTGGTAGGCTTGTTTTGTTGGTCGTTTTTTGTGTTTGGTTAGCTATTTTGACCTGTTCGGCCATCTGTCTAGTATTACCTGCAACTGATTGGGTGCAGGAAACCCTATAGTCTTCTGCGTCGCCTCTATTCTTGTTGTTCTTCCGTTAATTCCGTGATCTGGGCTCAAGTCGCTGCAACAGACCAGGCAGCAGTTACGGGCGCCTTGATACATCAGTACACCTCCCCTTGCGCCATAGCACTCGCAATACCACCCTAGGGGGTTTGGACCTCAGTCCTGATCCTCTTGCTCGCAACAGGCAATGCCTGTAGAACGCACCCTGGCGGTGGCAGTCGGGCCGGGGGGACTTAACTTTACCCCCTATTCGCGCCTGGTCTGTCGGCAACCAGATTACGAGATACACTATGTTCAGCTCAACATCATAATCGCGCAAACGCAGCTCCCATTGAGACTGGCCGTCGCTGCCTTTCTACGTGCCCCATGGGATGATGGCACATGCCCTCGTATAGCTGAGATGGTTGTAGTAGCCATCCCTGTTGAGATACAAAGGTCCTCCCTGATACTCACCAGTGGACAAGTCCTGTTCCCCTTTGACGACTCTCCACACATCACACATGATGGAATCATTCTGCACGGGAGAAGTGCCCTTCAACGAGCAATGGTATACCGTATCCTTCATCAAACGGAGTGTCTCCCTTCTCCCAGCTGCACAATCGGAGTAGGACAGGCCCGGCCCCCTGAACCGGGGGAAGCGTTTGCTGCCTTCCCCTTTTCACAGTTACACGCCTTGCCGGCAGTGCCCATAACCACAGAAAGCCCCGTGCCACCGATCCCACCATGGCTCTTGCCGCAACCTGTCCCTGCCCCCTCCCTATCGCAGCCAGCAGGAATGGGTGAAGTCAAAGTCCCTCCTCAAGCTAACACCTCATGTGTCTCTGGTCAGCTGGGAGTATATGCCTTACAAGCGCTCACTGAGCAGGATCTGGCCTCAGGGTATGATGCGCCGAATGCACGTCTTAGTCGTGAGCTCGAAACTCGTGCAAGAAATGTGCGCACCCTGGCGTGCGACATCCAACATACTCTTCAGAGCATACACAGCAATCGACAACATCTCAGTGTCCAGCCGGGGGCAAATGCGTGTTGGACTCTTGTCAGTGAGATGGACACC